CTCTCTCTCTCTCTCTCTCTCTCTCTCTCTCTCTCTCTCACACACACACACACACACACACACAGTTATGCTCCTCTAGATCAGTAGATCTCAACCTTCCTAATGCTGCAATCCTTTATTTAATACAGCTCCTCATGTTGTGGGGACCCCCAAACATAAATTATTTTTGTTGCTACTTCATAACTGTAATTTTGCTCCTGTCATGAATCATAACATGTAGCTATGTGATATGCAGGATATCTAATATGGGACCCATGTGAAAGGGTTGTTTGATCCCCAGAGGGGTTGCAACCCACAAGTTGAGAAACACTGCTTCTAAAGAACCCTGACTACAAGCACTCAGGAGGCAGAGGCAGGTGGATCTCTGTGAGTCCGAGGCCAGCCTGGTCTGCAGAGTGAGTTCCAGGACATCCAAGGCTACACAGAGAAATGCTGCCTTGAAAAAAAAAAATCAAAAGAACCCTGACTGATATATTCTCCATAAGAGAGATCTAGCATACCATGACTTGCGTGGGGGAAGGTCACCTTACCCTGTGAATATGCCACCTACCTCACAAATACTCATAAAAATTACTTTTAGGTCCAAACAGAGAACTCATTGTGCTAGCGCTGCCTTTGGGAGCAGCAATCTCTCTGTATATCACTTATTTAATTTTTCTTTGCTAAATAAACTTCCACTTAAACTGCTGCTGTCTCCTGACTGGATGCTTTCCTTCCAGAGACTCCTATAACATCCTTTCATCATTCCCAAGTATGTAAGGATAATCAGCACATCTATTGATTGCACTGTTGAAATGTTTGATTTTTAAAAAAGCGCTATTTGTGACGGTTGGTGTATCCAACTTGACAGACTCTTAGATGTAAGTGTTATAGCTCTGAGGGGAAAGATATCCTGGCAATCAGGAGTCAAGGGTACCACAAAGCCGCACTGTACTACAAACCTCACGTAGAGAATTATTAGGAAAAACGCAGGAGGGTGGCTGCCTCTGCTTGGGTGAGAAGCAGCAGGGAACTGAGAGAGAGATAGGTCTTATATAGGGTTTCTTGGGGGTGGAATCTTCCAGGGTAGCAATTTCCAGGGAGGGGATTGGTAGGATTTCAGGTACTAAGCTTAGGGAGAGCTCAGGGACTGGTGGGATTTCAAACCCCAGAAGTGAGCTCAGACTTTTTACCCCACACTAGAATCATTCTCCTCCTCCCTGCCTCTGCCTCCCGAGTGCTGGGATTAAAAGCATGTGCCACCACTGCCCACCCTCACCGGGTGTCTTAACTGTCCTTTCTGTCACTGTGATAAAACACCCTGACAAGGGCTGGAGAGATGGCTCAGTTCAGTTCACTTCCCAGCATGGGATGCTCACATTATCTAGAACTCCAGTTCCAAGGGCTCTGACTCCCTCCTTCCTCCTCCGACCTCCACCAGGCATTCACATGGTACACAGGCACACAGGCAGGTAAAACAATCATACACACGAAATAAATAAACCTAAAGGAAGAAAGAAAAGAAAGTACCCTGACAAAAATAACAGTTGACGATTACAGTCCACCACTGCAGAGGAAGGAACAGTGGCAGGAACACGAGACACCTACTCACACTGCATCCACAGTAAAGAACCGGGATAGCAGGGCGGGGCAGCGCACACCTTTAACCCCAGCACTCCAGAGGCCGAGGCAAGCACATCTTTGAGCTTGAGGCCAGCCTGGTCTACAAAGCGAGTTCCAGGACAGTCAGGGCTACACAGAGAAACCTTATGTTGACAAAAAAAACAAACAAACAATGCCCCCCACAGGTTCGAATATCTGAATCTTAGTCATCAGGGAGTAGTACTACTTGAGAAGGATTAGGAGGTATGGCCTTGTCGGAGGAAGTGTGTCACTGGGGGAGGGTTTTGATTTTCAAAAGTCCAGCCAGCACAGAGAAACCATGTCTCGAAAAACCAATAAATAAATAAATGAATGAATGAATAAATAAATAAATAAACAAAAGTCCAGCCAGGCCCAGTGGCTCCCTTCTCAATGTCTCCAGCCCTGTGTCTGTCTGTGTGCCACCATGCTCCTGACCTTGATGGTAATGGGCTAAACCTCTGAACTGTAAGCCAGCCCACAATTAAATGCTTTCTTTTGTAAGAATTGTGATGACCATGATGTCTCATCACAGCAACAGAACAGTGTTTAAGACACTTAAGGGGGCTGGAGAGATGGCTCAGCGGTTAAGATTACTGGCTGCTCTTCCAGAGGTCGTGAGTTCAGTTCCCAGCAACCACATGGTGGGTCACAACCATCTGTAATGAGATCTGGTGCCCTCCTCTGGCGTGTGGGCATACACGGAGGCAGAATGTTGTATACATAATAAATAAATCTTAAAAAAAAAAAGACACTTAAGGATGCTCAGACTATTCTCTATCTATCTATCTATCTATCTATCTATCTATCTATCTATCTATCTATCTATCTATCTGGTCATCTTCTGGGACTAAATACTGTTTCCTGTAATGGATAGGTCTTCCTTTTATCAGTTAACTAAGATAAGCCCATCTTCCAGATGATTCTGACAGTTAGCACTAACCATCTGTGGCGGTCTGAATGAAAATGTCCCCGCTCCCCTCCATAGGCTCACATGCTTGCATGCTTGGCCTCCAGGTACAGGAACTGCTTAGTAGGAGGTGTGGCCTTGCTGGAGGAGGTGTGTCACTAGGGGTGGGCTGTGAATATGTTTTATTACCATTGGTTAATAAAGAAGCTGTTTCGGCCAATGACTTAGTAGAATAAAGCCAGGCAGGAAATCTGAATAGAGATAGATAGGGAGAGTAGGCAGAGTCAAACAGATGCCATGTAGCCACAGCCTCATGGTGAGACACAGATTAATAGAAATGGGTTAATTTAAGATGTAAGAGGAACATCACTAAGATATTAGCCAAAACAGCTTTATTCATCAACCAATAAAGCGACACATATACAGAAGGATATGCCACATCACACACCATGCCCAATCTCTCTCTGCTGCCTGTGGATCAGGATGTAAAGTTCTCAACTACTATGCGAGTGCCACGCCTGTCTGCTTCCCATGATGATGATTATGGACTACCCCTCTAAAACTGCAATCACAGCCCCAGTAAATGCTTTCTTTTACAGATTGAGCTAGGTCACGGTGTCTCCTCATAGCAAGAGAACACTGAGACAGTCACAGTGTCTCCTCACAGCAACAGAACACTGAGACGGTCACGGTGTCTCCTCATAGCAAGAGAACACTGAGACGGTCACGGTGTCGCCTCACAGCAACAGAACACTGACTGAGACAGTCACGGTGTCTCATCACAGCAACAGAACACTGAGACGGTCACGGTGTCTCATCACAGCAACAGAACACTGAGACGGTCACGGTGTCGCCTCACAGCAACAGATTAGTAACCAAGACACCCTCACTACTGGAAATGGACTCTGGGCATGCCTGTGGGAGATTATTTTGACTGTGTTACTTGAGGTGAGAAAACTGAGTGCACTCGAGTCTTTGAAGGCCCAGCAAAGGAGATCACCAACTGCTTTCATTGTTTTCTGCCCCGACTGTGTATGCAGTGTGATCAGCTGCTTCAGGCTCCCACACCTTGACTTCCCTATCATGATGGAATGCACCATGAACTGTGAACCAGAATAAACCCTCCCTTCAAATCTGCATTTGTCAAAGCATTTTCCCACAGCAACGGGAAATGAAACTAAGGCCCCAGTTAAGGTGCTGACTTAGGTTTCAGTCATTAAATGGTTAAACGGGAGCTGAAGAGATGGTCAGTGGTTAAGGGCACTTTCTGTTCACAGCTCGGTTTCCAGCACCCACGTGATGGCTCACTACTGTCTGCAACTCCACTTCCAGGAGGTCGGATGCCCTCTTCTGGCCTCTGCCAGCACCAGGCACACACGTGGTACATATAAGTACATAGAGACAAAACACACATACACATACAATAAATTTAAAAAAAAATCATTAAATGAATTTTGCCTTGGGATTAGAACAGAATTTTTTAAATTTTATAAAAAGACCCTAAACATACTTCTGTCATTTTGTACCATATATATAAACAAAGCAGCATCCTCAGTGTTGCCAATTATAAAAAAACTGAATAACTCTGTTTAATATCCTGCAGAAACAAATATTCAGTCAAGATTTAGTTATTTATGTAAAAATAAACAGGTACATGAATCTCATTAGTATTTAAATTTACTTTCATCTTCAATAAATGGTAAAATCATATGTATACCAATAGTTTTAAAATAATTTTTCATAATTTATCATTAATCAATGTTTGATTTGTCTGACTATTTTTATATACCTATATGCCAGGGTTATTTGGGAACTTCTTGGGCATGGGGTCATTGATTCACTGTGATAAAGGCATTTGCTGCCTAGTCTGACCACCTGAGTTTGTGACCCAGGACCTACATGCTGGAATGAGAGAACTGACTCCCACACGTTGTGCTTGAACCACTTTCATGGACTAGCACAAGCATACATATAGAAACACAATGTTTTATGAGAAAGGGTTTCTCCGTGTAGCCCTGGCTGTCCTGAGACTCAATCTGTACACAAGGCTGACCTAACCTATTTCTGCCTCCCAAATGTTAGGATTAAAAGTTTGAAATATAAGTTTTAAAATTTTAATTTAGGGGCTGGAGAGGTGGCTCAGCAGTTAAGAGTACTGGTTACTCTTCCAGAGATCCTGAATTCAATTCCTAACAACCGCATGGTGGCTCACAACCATCTATAATGGGATCTGATGCCCTCTTCTGGTCTGCAGTCATACATGCAATCAGATCACTCATACTAAAAAAGAAAAAAAAAACCAAAAATTTAAAAAATTTAATATTTCTCAGGTAAAAGAGGGCCATTAATGGAAAAAATTTAAATTCTGCTTTAGACAATTTCAGTTTGGCTTACCTTTCTATTCTCTGTATTTTATTTAGCAATGTGTTTAAAATGATTTCCATATTTAAGCTATAGAACCCCTAATTGTAAGGAAAAAGGCTTTTCCTAAATAAATAATCCTTCAGGTGTAATATACCCCAGCATATTAACATATAATTAAACCAGCAGACACCAAATCCACGAAAACACAATGTCTATTTTTATTTACCATAGCACTTCGTAGAATCTTTAATAACTACATGTTTAGTAAATGGAATAAATTTCATTCTTGTACAGTTTGCATATTTGCATTTGTTTCTGGGTATTATATATGGACGCATCTTTAAATGTAATTTCTTTTGGCTCTATTTTATACTACTATTTCAGTTACTGTAGAAAATACTTTTGTAATGTTTTAAAGATACAGGTGCAATGGACTGGAGAGATGGCTCAGTGGGTAAGAGCACCACCTGCTCTTGCAGAGGACACAGGTTCAGTTCCCGGCACCCACATGGCCCCTCACAACCATCTGTAGCTCCAGTTCCAGTTCCAGTGCCTTCTTCTGGCCTCCTCTGTCACTATATTCATGTATTGCATAGACATACATGCAAACAAGCACCCGTGACCACAAGATAAAAATAATAAATAGTTAAAAATACAGACTTGTAGGGCGGTGGTGGTGCATGACTTTAATCCCAGCACTCAGGAGACAGAAGCAGGTGAATCTCCGTGAGTTCGAGGCCAGTATGGTCTACAGAGCTAGTTCCAGGACAGGCTCCAAAGCTACACAGAGAAACCCTGTCTTGAAAAACAAAACAAACAAACAAACAAAAAGGAAGAAGAAGAAGAATACAGACTCAACTGCTTCCTGTCCTACCTCCTCCTCCAACCAATGTCTTTGTAGCCTGTGGTGGTGGCACATGCCTGTAATCCCAGTATATTTTATAAGAGGAGGCTGGAGGATTGGGAATTCAAGATCATAGCTGCAGAGGGAGCTGAGGGCCGGCTTGGGCTACATGAGGCACTGTCTCAATTTATTTTCCTTATAACTTTACTAGTTAATGAACTGGATTACCTGGTGTATCAGCTGTGGGCTGCTGCCAAATTAGAAGATCCCTAAAGGTTCTATCTACTGTTGTCATAAAATTGTCCTGTCAAAGCTTACAAGTACTCACACAAACCCTACCTTAGCAGAGTCACACTTTAATAATCAAGATTTGATACATCCGATTACTCAAAATCATCTTGAACATGAGTTTTTGCCAAATTCCTAACTCTGAGCACCCAAAAGTCCTCTGACTTCCTTTCACACCCAAGACTGTAGAAAAAAGCTCATCGCTGCCAATCACAGCTCAACACATCTCCACCTCCAATAGCCACAAACAGACTGTTCAGATTCCCACCTGTGGTGGTTTAAAAGAAAATGGCCCCCAAAGGGAGTGGCACTATTAGGAAGTGTGGCTTTGTAGAGTATGTGTGGCCTTGTTGGAGGAAGTGTGTCACTGTGGGGGCAAGCTTTGAGGTTTCTTCTGCTCAAGTTTCACTCAGTGTAACATTCAGTCCATTTCCTGTTGCCTGCAAAATGTAGAATTCTCAGCTCCCTCTCCTGCATCATGTCCCACCATGATGATAATGGACTGAACCTCTGAACTGTAAGCCACCCAATTAAATGTTTTCCTTTATAAGAGTGCCATGGTTATGGTTTCTCTTCACAGCAATAGAAACCCTGACTAAGACTCTACCCCCAAGAGCATATTTTTGCCTCATTTAGTGTTTCTTACGACACTGAAGCCATAGGTGAGGTGGAACGAGTCCTTGACTAAAGATGCAAATGGTGGCTGGGAGATAAGGGATGCTCTCAGGTTTCAGGGGACTTTCTTCTGTGTTGCAATGGAGGACAAGACCATGTCACTATATAGAAGAGATTTTGTCGGGTTGCTGAATTTCAGAAGTCAAAATGTTTCTTTTGCTTGACTGAAAAGGTGGCATTTCAGGGAATAAGAAATGCTTCTTGGGGGCTGGGGAGATGGCTCAGAGGTTAAGAGCATTGCCTGCTCTTCCAAAGGTCCTGAGTTCAATTCTCAGCAACCACATGGTGGCTCACAACCATCTGTAATGAGAACTGGTGCCCTCTTCTGGTGTATAGACACACATGCAGGCAGAACACTATATACATAATAAATAAATATATATTTTAAAAAAAGAAAGAAATGCTTCTTGCTGGGCAGTGGTGGTGCATGCCTTTAATCCTAGCACTCGGGAGGCAGAGGCAGGCAGATCTCTGTGAGTTCGAGGCCAGCCTGGCCTACAGGAGCTAGTTCTAGAACAGGCTCTAATGCTACAGAGAAACCCTGTCTCAAAAAAAAAAAAAAAAAAAAAAAAACTTCTTACCTTGGACATGATGTTAAAACTTCAAGAATGTATGACTGCTTCTGGGATGGGGGCGATATCCTGAGAAAGCAGAGGTGGACAGAAAAAAGAAACCATGATTTCCAGGTGCAGCCTGCGACCCCAGCGTCACTAGCCTAGAAGCCTTCCATTCCTTTTCTTTTTCTTTTCTCATCACACATGTACATTTCAGATATCATTAGATTTATGCTTTTTTCCTCCCCCCTCCTTCTCTCTCTCTGTTCCTTTCTCAATAAACTCCCTGTTAAAAAAAATTACAATTATTTCTCCCTAAGTACTTTATAGCTTTGGAATTCAACGTATATTTTGTGTAAGTTACCTTTTACTTACAATTATAAATAGTAAGAGCAAATACAAAATGGCATTATCAAATCTTCCACCATTTTAACACACGAAGGATTTTCATTATTGAAGATGCCCAAGGCAACTATTGAGCAAATAACCGAGCCAAACTGGAGACTAGACTTGAATTCATCGTGTACAGTTGATGATGTTAACAGGAAGATTGTCCCTACCCTTTCTACAAGGATGCAAAACAAGCTACGAGATGAAGCTTCTTTACACAGTGGGCATCAGAGGGACTCTGTGATCTGGACGACACCACTAACAAACTGCTCCTGAGAGCAACTTCTTCAGAAATGGAAGGGAGGGGACGTTTAGCCATCATTGTAATCACAGTGCTTTTAAAAACTAAACTTCACTGCCTTAAAGAATAATGAATCATTTAAGAGTGCTGAAGGGATGGCTTGGTTAAGAGCATTGGCTGCTCTTCCAGAGGACTGGGATTCAATTCCCAGCACACATAAGGCAGCTCATCGCTATCTGTGAGTCCAATTCCAATAGTTCTAATTCCTTCCCACAGACACACATGCAGGCCAAACACCAATGCACACAAAATAAAAATAAGTTATTTTTTAAAAATCTTTGAAAATAAATCATTTATTTTCAAAGTGCCAAGAAGTCCTATATCTATATATTTATTAATTCTATATCTATTAAAATGCTTCATTCAATCACTCAGTACACTGTGTGGGAAGTCCTTCTATATATATGTTGCTTTTATTAGTTAATGAATAAATCTGTTTCAGTCAGTGGCTTAACAGAATAGAGCTAGGTGGGAAAACTAAACTGAATGCTGGGAGAAAGAAGGCGGAGTCAGGGAGAAGCCATGGAGCCACCAGAGGGGAACGACACAAGCTGCCAGCTAGAACCTTGCTGGTAGGCCACAAGCCTTGTGGTAAAATATAAAATAATGGAAATGGGTTCATTCTAGATGTAAGAGCTAGCTAGCAATACTCTTAAGCTATTGGCCAAACAGTATTGTAAATAATATAGTTTCAGAGTGAGTATTCCCTGGTCTGGGCAGCCGGGAAGGAACAAGCAGCTTCCCGCCTACAGTACACTACATCTGTCCACACAATCCCACGGTCTCACGGCCCCCCTCATGAGACATCTCATACGGTCACACCTTTCCAGCCCTGTCCACCTCAAACAGCGACCCTGTCTCAGATCTGTGACACAGTCTTGTAGACCGTCACTCTGGCCCACTGTCGCACGCGGCTCCATCACACCTGATAGTAAATGCTTCGCTGCAATAGTGTCACATAGTCGCAAACGCAGCCTCACAAACGCTGTTCTCACCATCCGTCACCATGTCACAAGGCACTGACACAGGTTCTGTGTCACACAGTGCCATTCAGCCTTGCGTACATTCTCAGCGCCTCTCATGGCCTCTTTGGTCACACATTTTCTGTCACACACTATCACGGGCCCTCTCACACATGGCGGTATAGTATGTGGCATGGCACACGTCGTCATGGCCTCTCACCCTCTGACACACTGCCACAGGCCCTTCAACACTGTGACACGGTCTCATGCCGTCACGCACCCTGTCATGGCCTCTATGTAGGTCATAGGCAGGATTAGCCTCACAAAGTATCCCAGGCCCTCCCAGCGCTACGGGCATAGTCATGTCCTGTCACGCACATGGTCACACACTGTCACAGTGTCTCACAGACTCAGAAACGAAGTGGCTTGGTCTCAACTCTGCCACACGTTCTCCCACATGGTCCCCCACGCTGTCACACGCTGTCCCAACTTCTCAGCCCCATACAGCCCGCAGTCTCACCGGACACTCTCACACAGCGGTGTGGTCCGACGGTCACTCAGATGCCCGCCCATATTCTCACACCCCCACCCCCACCCCGACGGTCACTCACACTGCCGCAGCCTTTCGGTCCTACACAGTGTGGGTTGCTGGTCCCCTCAAGCAGGCTGCTGTGGTCTTGTACTGCCACACGCACGATCACCACCTCAGGCTCACACAATGTGCAGGTTCAGTCACAGGTTCACACCGTCACTCAGGTCTCCCCACACGTCCTCCAGCGCTATCACACAGTGGCACACTCGGTCTCACAGTCGCAGGCGTCCCGGTCCATGGGATGCTGTCTCCTACTGTCGCGTACTTTGTCACGCAGTTGCAGGCGTACAGCCACAGGCCCCTCGTACACGGTGGCGTGGTCTTGCACGGTCCCGCGGGTCCCGCCACACACTCTCCCACACGGTACCCCGCTGCTCACCGGGCTCCTCCTGCGTCCGCGTCACTCCTCGCTCTGCGCCGAGGCCGATTGGGCCGGGCCCGGGGCTCGATCTCGCGGCGACAACAGAGCGCACAAAGGCGCGGCAGCAGAGCTGCTCCGCGCAGGGGCCTCTGGGAGGTGGAGTCCGGCGCTTGACCTGAGCGGCGCAGGGCATGCTGGGAACGCCCACCAGGGCGCGGCTCGCCGAGGTCAGGAGTCTCTGCAGGATTCTGTCCCTTCTTTTCAGGTTTTCAAAAGCCGAACTCACTTCGGCTGCGCAGGCGCAGCTTGCTCAGGCGGGCTACTCCTGCAAGGAGTGGTGGAGGTAGGATGCTCGGCCACGCATGCGCAGTGCTGACTGACGGCTATGGCCAGAGCCAGCAAAATGACAGGTCACTGAGTGATTCGTGCTTCCTTTCTTGTTTGTTAAATTTCCCTCTGCATCACCTTTTCTCTCATTTCTTTTTGCTATTGTTGCTTTTTTTGTTTGTTTTCTTGAGACAGGGTTTCTCTGTAGCCCTGTCTGGCCTGTTACTCACAGAGATGCACCCACCTCTGCTAGGATTAAAGATTTTGGGGGTTGAAAGAAAGGGGGATTAAGATTTGGAGATCAAAGCCAGGTGTAGTAGCACACACCGCTAATCCCAGCCCGCACTTGGGAAGCAAAAGCTGGCAGATGTCTGGGAGTTTGAGACCACATAGTGAGTTCCAGAACAGAGAACTACGGAGACTCAAACAAACAAACAAACAAACAACAAACGAACAAACAAGGATTTGGAGATAAACCTGGGCAGTCGAACAACACTGTTCTACAGCAGCGATTCTCAGCCTTCCTAATGCTGTGACCATTTAATGCAGGTCCTCATGTGGTGACCCTAACCTTAAACTTACTCTGTTGCTACTTCCTAACTGTAATTTTTGCTACTGTTAAGAATGGTAATGTAGCGGATCTCTGTGAGTTCGAGACCAGCCTGGTCTACAGAGCTAGTTCCAGGACAGGCTCCAAAGCCACAGAGAAACCCTGTCTCGAAAAACCAAAAAAAAAAAAAAAAAA